TAAATTAATAATAATAGTTTCATTTAATTTTTCCTTGAAAATTGTTTGAGAACATGGATACAGAAAATCCTTCTACTTTTATTGACTTCATATGATGCTGGATTCTCAGTTGAGAATAAAGGAAAAAAACCTATTGAAATAAGAATTTGCTGTGCATTTTCAAATAAAAATGTGCACTGTTTTATCTCTATTTATAATACTATTACGTTGCTCTCAATCTTGTTCATCCTTAGAGAAAGCCTGGAAGAACCTGTCAGAATCTTGAACCTCAAGAATCTTATCAAGTTTTATTCAGGATCCTGTATCGAGGCCTAGTAATTTCTGCTTGCAGAATTTATCATAGTGAAATAGGATCCTTGTCATGATTTGTTCAAGTTTCTATTCAGTTTTTTTTTCTAAATTAAAAATACAGGATCCTACTACAATTCACTCTCGATCCTACTCAGGATCTTCATAGAAATAGCGGACAGGATTATACCAATATTTTATTAACTTTTAGTCAAGATCTGTTCTGGATCCTGATACGAGAATTCAGTCAAGAGTTGAAGGTAAAATCAGAGGAGGATCTTAACAAGAATAAAACAAGATTAGTCAAAATTCTAAACGAGTAAATCCTGCCAAGTTTCAATTAGCATCCTGTTCTGAATTTTTTTCAGAAACAAACATTTTTGGATCCTTACAAGATAATATCAACCATGATCAGAATTATGACAGAAAAATATAAGAATCTAGTTTAGGTCTTTGAAGGTTTGTGTTTAGAGTCTTTTCAGAATTTGTTTAAGATTTGTAAATCTTAATACTGATAAATGAAAGGGGATTCTTGAAATTTTTATTATGTTTTGTTCCAGATCGGATAGAATTCAGGAGCTCATCAGGATTTTATCTTGATCGTGATTGTAACTTTATATAAACAGACAGAGAGCTTATGGTAAAATTTCAGAAATATTCGTAGATCTCTTAAATACGTATATTGAGGGTGTGGGCATAAGTTAAGAAAAGAGACACCCACACCGACACCCGTATTTGCATTCCACACTCACCCACACCCTCAATTCGCTAGGTATTTGACTTGTTTATATGGAAGATTTATTTCTATATGGAATATATCGAGTAAGAACGAAACAGGGTGTGTGTATGAATGTGGAGTCTACACGTACTCACTCACACCCACAGCCTCATCGATTGAATGATTTATTTCTATGTATAGTTGAATTGCTGTTATATTTGAAACAGAAGAGGTAATACAGCTATACAGAGAAGTAATTCATTCAATTGACGAGAAAGAAGAGTAATGGTTGAATGCATTGAAATCGATGATTTATGTACAATGAAAGAACATGGTTTTTTGGAAGAGAAATTCATAGCTGATTTCTTTTTGTTTATTCATATTAAGACATATATTCCTATCAATTAATTATTTAACGCCAAAGAAAAAGAAAAAGAATAACGTTAGTTCAATATTGTCATCGACATGAAATGAATAATGAACGTGTGAGGCATTTGATTACTATCATTTTAAATGATTTCAATTTCGTTGTTGTGCATGATCGGTTTGAATAGTATCTGTTTGAGAAATAAAATGCGGATACGTTTAAATTCAAAAATGAACATCAATGAAAAAAATGTAAAACAATAAGCACATTGTTTTTTCTGTTTCAATTGAACTTGGTTCATTAGCTATATCAAATATTGACATAACATTATTCGTCTAAATAAGTATACAAAACACTAGCTAAAATCAGTGAAGATTTTTCTTTTATTGAGATTATTAAAATGACAACAGGAACAAAAGCTAGTCGACACTCTCTTTGCTTATAGCTCATGATAAGTAATGGATTAGAGAGAGAGGGAATCAAGCGATCAATCTGTAAAATCATGTTTATATCCGTTAATAGAGTTCTCTTAATAGGGAATTTCTCAGTGATTACACCTCGAACATCCTAGCGGTGGAGCTAGAACACTAGCTCCTTTCTTGTTGTGGAAAAGGTAATGGAGAGTTCTGCTATTCTATTGGTATTGTATATTCTTGACAACATGATGTACTTAGCAGGAACGTCACTTGTCACTGCCCATCGAAAATAAGAGCAGTGCTACTATTTTGGCTCCGTCGCTAGGTTATCTGATTTGTCGAAATTAACTTTTCCGATTTACAACGACAAAAAAAGAAGAAGCACTTGGTTTCAGTATAATGTAGCTATCTTGTAGAAAAAAGTGTTTCATATTGAATCTTTAAATGATTATTCGTTTTTTTTTGTGGAAAATATCGATTTATTCGTCAATAGACATTGGAAGCTTCGGGGTGCATTTTTTTAAAGCAAGTGAAATTCGAATATCATCTAGTTATTTTTTGAAACTAAGACATTTGTCAGTTCTCTTTGTTAATTCGATGAGATTTACTTGTAATGAATGAACGAACTTTGATTCAATTTAGAGTTCTACATTTGGGTCAGGTTGGTAAATTCAAGAGATTGTCTCCTATGCAGAACAGTTTGAACAACTTCTATGCGCTATTGGTTTAGGGTGTGTGATCAACATACGCATTGAACCATTCAGAAGTAAATGTTATCGTAGTTAATGTGCCTAGTGTCGGATTTATTCAGTTTACCGACACGAATTGATGCAGGACTTTAATTGTATTATTGCACATAGTTCATGATAACCGCTTTCTGAGATTATTCATCACTTTATAGCTTATCTATTAGACATATACAAAGAATCAATAGGACTGAAGAACTACAAAAGGATTATGATTCATTAGGCTTCTCTACAAAGCATTGGGAAATCCAGGGAGACGTGGCGGCTGTTTTCCCTCTTTGAAATCTATGTATGCTATACCCGAAGTATCTTTATATTTCTATGATATTTACAGAGACAAATAGTGTGCATTTATCAGCATTATTAAGTTTATAATGCCTGTATTTTGAAATGTATAATTCCAGAGAAAGACAACAATATATATATATGCATTCTACATAGTGTTATTATTTGTATCAAATATTTTTTCTCTTGTTGGATATGACTTCTTTTTCTGTCACAGAACTAATGAACATTTATAAAGTTGAGTCCTCCTCCTATCAAAAACCTATTTTCGTGTGAGAACAATCGATCTCACTGTAAATTTCAGGAAATATGAGTCAGGGCCCAGAAACTTTACAGTAAAATTTTCAGTCCAAAATATTGAAGTCTACAAGAATTATCTCTAGTTAAGAGTCAAAAAATAGGCCTCCGTGTGTCCCAGATTTCTTTCTCAAATATAATCATACAGATCTCGGATTGGGATGAAAATGTAACCGACACTTGCTGTTATAACTTAATAGGGCTCGCTTTTTCAAATTCTTCTTTATCAATTTTTGGCGTCACGTTTTTTCGAAAAGCTCGAAAAAATAGGAATACATGTGTAAAAAAAAAACTCCATTTTTCTCAAGAACTAAGTCAAACATAAAAAATCCGGCTCTATTAAATTGCGGAGCACAATTTTCTCTTCGATTTAGAAGCTTGCTAAACTTCCTGGCATGTGCAATGGTTGAGAAATCTGAAATGTACAAGTAGAAGAAAAAAATACAAAATTCATTTTGAGAAAAGGAACTCGCACGTACTTGTACAACGTCTAAAAAATCTCAATGTAAAAGAGAAAAAAATATATGAAATAAGAAATGATTATAAATATCAAAGAATGGAACTGAAGGAAGAGAAGAGAATACATACTTATATGAGAAGGCGTTTCTTCTAACATAATACAGTTAAAATAATTATATAATTAAATGAACACTGGTAGAGAACGAAATACAGTGCATGAGTCCACTAACTATTTCACACATTTTTTGCTACATTCTTCGCTGTGAGAAAATCTTCGAAAAAGTTCATAAGGAAACAACAATAACTAACATTTTCATAAAATTCATTTTTCCTGATTCCAACATCATCAGTAATTGATAAGTATGAGATTACAGAGCTATGACAGTTTTGCTGTGTACATAGTAGTCATTCAAATATAAGAGAATATCTCCGATTGGTCAATTCAATCTGGATACTGTATATCATTTTATTACATCATAGTCTAGATAAAATGATCCCTTTTGATTGAGACTAATCCTTCTATGATTAAGATTGAGCTTGAAAATTTTCGATCATATTTAGTATCATGTAACAATACATTTATTGTAGATTCTTTGGCTCAGTTTTTATATTTTCATTTTAAGTACATCAACGTACAATATAGAATGAATATTTGATATAATAAAAGAGAAAGAAAATTTCAATGTTATTCTTATGTCAATAAATTAAGACAGTATGTATATTAAACTGAATGTTTTTTTTTTTTTTTATTCATAAATTCATTCAACTTTATATAGAGAATTATTTGAAACTTGAATGCAAAAAAAACATATAATGCATCCATAAAAATTCTTTAATAATATAATACAACACTTCTGTTTTGCTTTCTTTAATATATTATAATTGATGTAGTTCATTATAGTCGACCTTCTTGTTTAGGTCATTTTTTTTGTCTTTCTCTATTTCATTGTTATCGAGAATAAATATATATAGAGACAGAAAGAATTATGTTTATCTATCTTGAAATGTTCCACTTGACTTTGTCTTATATTTAGTCATATGAAATATATCATGATTGAATGTTTTTATAAGCAAAAAAGAAGACAGAAAAAAAAAAGAACATAAGTTGTCTTGCTATAGGGTACACTTTACTAATGTATGTCCAGTCAATTCTTTGATTCAGTTCTTCTTAACATAACATTACGAACAACTGTATGATTACTATAGAATACTTATATCCTTTTTTTTTTAACTCACTATGTATGTATACATATATGCAATGTATGAAGGTAGAAGAAAAAAAAAATGTCTACCTTTCGAGTTATAATAAAAAGAAAAGAAGTAGAGGTCTCCTGTTAATTCTCATATTACTCTTTCTCTCTTCATATTATTTAGTATGAGAATATATGTATATTTATAGATTTTATTTTGATGAATAATTGAAGATGCCTCGAGAACAAGTCGAATGGTTTACAAAACAACAATCATTACATGATAATGATAAAATTCATACACATCAATATTGTACTTACTGTTCAATTATTAATATTAATAAAACAAATAATCCATATTCAAGTTCATATGAACAAGAACAAATATGGACATTAGCACGAACAAAATCAAATCATCATAAACGATATCAATCATCAATTGAAAATATTCATTTAACAATACCATCTGTAACAAATATGATAAAATCATATTCATCAAATACAAATTATAATGATTATGATAATGAAAAAATTAAATTAGATCGATCAATTTCACTTTTACCACCACTTCCACCATCACGACAATTATCAACAAATCATTTTAATCGTATGAATACAGATTTTAAAATTACTCAACAACAACAAATTTTAACTAGTAATTATTCAAATTCAAAAGGAAAATCTATTATAAAAAAATCACAACCAATAGAAAATTTAATGCATATTATGCATATTAATGGAGAATTCATTGTACGTATTTAAATCATTTTTCTTATATATATATATACGAAGTATTATTCTACTTATCTTTTGATAATTCTCTTACATAACAAATGAAATTATTCATACATTTATAAAGAAAAAAAAAAAAAACTTACAGTCGTTGTACATTCAATATATGAAGAATGATCAGCTTATGTACACTTTTTTTTGTATAATTTTGATGTTGATTTCAAAATAAATGTTTTTCATAACAAAATTGACTTTTAATATCGTTTTATTTTTTTGCTTTAATTGATTATGACTTGTTCAATATACGCCCAGGTCGTTTTCGACCACAAAATTTTGGAAAATGCTAGGAACTTGAAAGCAGAAATTCAGGCGCCGAAGTTGAGAGTGATCCATGTGGTCACTGAAATCTATTGGCTGCTTCTATCGGTTAAGTCAATAATTCACTCTTATAGTGTTACACTTGACAGCTTTCATTGCAGCGTTATGAACGAGCTTTAAACTCAATGGATGTTTAAAAAGAAAGACGTTGCATAGATAAAGCCATGTTTTGAAGCTTGCGATCGAAGACGGCTTGGACAACTATATCTTCTATACTTAAAATGGAAACGATACAATCCTTTAATTTTCTTTTTTGTATATGTTTATTTAGAAAAATTCATATGAAAATTATTTATTTAGACTATTTATTTAAATTTTGTTTCATCTTTGATTTTGTATGAATAATGAATTTTGTCGAAAAAAGTCAAAGAAAAATTTTATAACGAAAGTGTTATATGAGATGGATAAAGACTTTGGTATATATGTACATAAGTTTAGAATAGTGAATACATGTTATTCAATGAAACAATACGTACAGCTGGCCGATCATCATAGCTTTCTATTGGAATTTGATAATATTTTTTCACTTGTATAAATATCAATCGAACGATGATTTGATGAAGCCATTGCATTGAATCTATTGATAATATACATGTATGGCTTGCATTATATAAATATAGATATACACTGCCAATACAATGCTTTTTTTGTAAATATCAACGATGACAAAAAAAAATATCATATGAATATTTGTTTTATCTTATTATATTATTGACAGAATTAATCAATTAAAAATAACTTATCTCTTTTGTTCTTATTCTCCTAAGGTAAAATAGTCGATATAATTGATAATTATGAATAATCGAATTAAATTGTTTAACATCAATAGATATAAAAATCAAAAAAGATCATTTATACGTGCATTGTTGTAAACAACAAAAAAAAACTAGTGAAATAATCCAATGATTTCAAATAGATGTTTTTTTTTTTTACTAAATAAATATAATAAATCTTATCTTGAGTCTACTTTGCGAAAATATTTTCTTAAATTAAAACTAAAAAACAGTGTTCGCAAAGAGTACAAAATAAAACAAATTGTTTTTTTGTTTTTTGCTATCTTAAAAATTAAAAACAACGTCGATGAACAATAGTTGATCCATATTCATTATAATCTTGTTTTGTTAACCATAAATGTTGAAAAGTTGATAGAGTTGATAGAATACTACCACCAATCCAAACAGAATATTTTCGTTGTGGTGGTGCAATAATTTTTATTTTAACTGATGTTGGAGTCATTCGAACAATTTCATTTTGTAAACGTTCATGAATATTTAAAAACATTGTTGAACCACCTGATAAAACAATATTATTAAGAAGTTCACGACGTATATCAATATCACAATGCATTATTGATGAATATGTTATTTCATGTATTCCACGTATTTCTAAACCAATAATTGATGGTTTAAATAAAATTTCTGGTGCACGAAAACGTTCACAACCAATACGAATTATTTGTCCATCAGGTAATTCATAATTACGTTCAATTATATTTGTTTTAATACTAGTTAATTTTTCTTTTTCATAATCAAATGAAATATAACATAATTTTTCTTTTATATCACGAACAATTTCACGTTCAGCCGAAGTTGTAAAATTATAACCACGTTTCATTAATAATTGTAAAAGAAAATTTGTTATATCTCGACCAGCAAAATCAAGACGAACTATTGCATGTGGAAGTGAATATCCTTCATAGATTGGTACACTATGTGTTACACCATCACCAGAATCAAGAACAACACCTAAATTATAATACATAAAATTATCTTATAAAGAAACATCAATCGCATTCTCATAGAAAACTAGTAGATTAGAGATTATCAACTATACTGATTTTCCAGACTATTAAACTTTTTTTGTGGATCTGTCTAGATTGATAGAACATATTGAATTGTTTCGAGAAGAAAAAAAAAACTTTTTCTGTGTTTGCAGAAAATACAGTCAATTAATTGTTACACCATATATATACATATCAATATTTCAATGTGAAAATCTTCAAGATCATTAGTAGAAAATAGAAAAAGATTATCGACTTAAGAACAATTCGATACGATTTATAATTGAATGAAAGTTTTCAAGTGATAAATTGTTTTTTTTAACTAGAACTATATTCAATCGATAAAATCTAGTGAATAGGTAAATATTCTAAAGTAATTCGAATTATTGCTGAAATATTAAATTATTAGTAGACAATAATTAATAATACCCGTTGTTCGACCTGAAGAATAAAGTGAAAGAATAGCTTGAATAGCAATATAAATAGCTGGTATATTAAAATTTTCAAACATAATCTAAAAATTTCATTCTGAAAAAATTTTCATTTAACTATTCTTTATATATTATAATAATTATACTTGTGTTATTTTTTCTCGATTTATTTTTGGATTAAGTGGTGCTTCAGTTATTAAACATGGATGTTCTTCTGGTTGAACATGTAATTCATTATAAAATATATGATGCCAAATTTTTTCCATATCATCCCAATTCATTATAATACCATGTTCAATTGGATATTGAAGTGAAAGTATACCACGACGACCTTGAGCTTCTTCACCAACATATAAATCTTTATAATTCATACCAAGCATTATATTTTGATGTTTTGGTCGACCGACAATAGCTGGAAAAATAGCTCGAGGTGTATCTTCACCACTAAAGCCTGATTTACATGTACCTGTACCATTATCTGAATATATATATATATATATAGAAGAAAAATCAATATGAAATAAAGATGTTGGATTTAATAGTTTGCTTTTTTTTTACAATTATTTACCTATTACTATTGCACCAAGCATTAGATAATAAGAAACATAATTGTATGATGAAACAGAAAATATTCTCTAAATATGATTGATTAAAGCGCCAAGATATTCAAATAGATTTTTATAAAATTATGTTAAATGATTGTCTATAGTGAATTCTATTTTAGCAATTACATTATCTCTTTTTGTTAATTCTTGACGTTCTGTTGGATTATTTAATTATCTATTTAGAGTAATAAAGACTTTAACAATACGAATAGGTGATTTTGTATCGAAATTAGAAAAGAAAATTAAGACAAACAATATCGATAGAATCTTAGAAGTGGCAGATCCAATTTCAATCCAAAACTAGTCATCATTGCAAATGTCTAACCAAGTATCATCCACGGAAATGATTCATTTTTCAATAAAATAACAACATTATTACGAAAAAAAAGAACTCAAATTAACAGTAAATTTACGATTCTTTGATTTATATTAATCTATCAAGATATTCGATAGTTTGCTGTTTTCATCGATAAACTTACATAATTTACAGAACTTAATATAATTGAACAAAAACCTTAACTATAATTATCATAATTAAAAAAAGCTATCAGCGCAATCCTTGCAAGATTAAAATGTCAAACGCGGTGTAGCTGATGTTGCTAATCACAGGGAGATTGTTGGCATATGACAGTCTCTGACTAGAGCCTATCATTGGTAAACCTGAACTTAAGACGGAAGACCCTCAGATGTTACACACCATTTCGAATCTGGTACACGTCGTTTGTAGAGCTCAGTGAGTACAACATCTAATATAAAGGCTTTGTCTTCATGCTGAATCCTGAAGAAATTACGAGGGACCATACCTTGTGAAAAATCACTATGACCCTTTTAGTATGGCTAACTTTTCAAAAGGCCAGTTTTGAAAACAAAATTCCACTAGGTTTTATTTTCAAACTTTTTGACATCTGAACGATACCATCGAGAGTCTTGAAAGATCTTCGAAGCATAGAGCTGAAAATCCTACCTATTGATACTGAATAGTTTACATTTAGCATCGAACTTGATGAATATAGACTTAGACAACTCGATAGATGTTCGAAGAAAATAATAGAGGATCGCACTTGGGCGGTTGAATACATACCAATCTTCTTAATATTTCGCCGGTAAGAAGGACTTATTTGAAAATCAAAGTCGATAGTTTTCTAGAGCGAAAAATTCTCTACCAAAAGAGAGTGTGGGTGTTTTTTTTCGTCGACTTCATACCCACACCCTGTGATAGAGCGATGATTATATTGTTGGTTTTTTAAAATAAAAACATGAAAGTATTAAGTTTCTAAAATATAAGTAAGTGAATTTTTTCTTCAGAATATGTGTGGACTTTTTCACAATTTCTATGATAGTCTGTTTGATTGATTTTTATCGAAGATCATTTTACCAAAGATACATGCAGTTTTGTCATTTTTATTTCCATTATCAGCTAATAAACTTTTTTTTTTTCGATTTTGATTCTACTTTCAGAATAAAGATTCGTATTCAAATTCAAGATGCATCATTTCTTAATACATATTTCATATTTGTATTTGCACTGATTTTCTTCTTCAATACTTAGTTCAGAAGAATGAATGTGAGATCTTCTATCGAGATATTTTAGCTCTCATTCTTATCCAAGTGATGAGTTTTATATGAATGAGCAGGTGAGTGTAGTAACCAACGTGTACGAGTAGGGAAAGATTATCAATTCTCATAAATTCGTTTTTTGCTTTTGAGAGACTTTCTCCTTCAAAGCAAAAGTAAAGGAAAACTATGATGATAATACAACGTCTAGTCATTGGATACCTACTCTTGCAAAGAGTAAGAACAATGTTTACATGTAGTTTTAAAATACAGCTGTAGTCAAAAAAACTTGAACATCTTGTTATGCCAATATTTTCTTATATATGTGTCATTCTCAAACTCTTTCATATATTAGTTGATAATCTACGACGAGTTCTATCGAACATTATACTTCAATATTTTATTCGTTCACCTTTAGAAGAAATAAATGACAAAACATCTGTTTTTCATGGACATCGCTGATGAATTATTTTACAAATATTACTTCGATGTTTTGGATTATTATCCTTCTGTAGACGCCAATTCCGACGAAATTGTCCTAAAATGAAAAAATAAAACACTATTCCTTCAAGATTCAGCATGAAGACAAAGCCTTTATACGAGATATTGTATTCACTGAAAACATGTATCAGATTCGAAACGACGTGTAACACCTGGAGACCTTTCCTTATTAATCGAAAGACAACGTATCAGAATAATACGATTTAATTTAATGTTAGAAATATAAAGATTAGAGTGTGATCATCGGTCTTCTCTTTACATACGCCTACACCTTCGAACTTTCATAATTTCAAACAGTAAAACTTTTTTTTTTTGACATTTTTACTTTCAATATTATTCAGATGATTCTTGTTACTATCTCTTTCTAACTTCTCCTGCCATCTGTGACAGTCTTTACCTACCGTTTGCTATGGTCTATGAGAGTTGCAAATCTCTACTCTATATACTTCAGCATTTCTTTTTAGATCATGTTTTACAAAAACAAAGATTTGAGAATATTTTTACATAGTAAATATTATATATTAAAATGATAATTATTCAATGACATAACAAAAATATTTTCTAAACATAACACAAATGGATAGTTATTATAAATTGATAACTATTCTAATGTATTATCCCAAGTAATACGTGATTTTTTTGATATAGAACGAGAATGTCTATTTGATTTTAATATAGATTTAGCTATTGAATTATTTGAATCATATGTATTTTTAATAATAATATTTGATGCTATTGTTATTGGTGATGCACATAGAGCTTCTTCTTCTTCAGGTGTTATTTGCCAAATCATATTAGCAAATGTACGTTTATCTGTAACAAATAAATGTTGATTTGCAATAAGTTGTGATAAATATGGTGAATTATAATCAACACCAAATTGATTAGCTATTGTATTTGCTAACAATTCTTTATCAACATTAAATAATGGATTTGTTAAATAATTAGCAAAAACAACTGGTTGACCATATTGATGATTATTTGATGTTGTATCTTGTATTATAGAATTATCTTCTTCTGAAAGTGAAGGTGAATTAGATGATGTTGATTGTCGTTGAAGAAGTAATGATAATCCACGTTGTGTTCCAAATAATTGTGTAAGATATTGTTGTTGAAGTTCAGTATTAGGATCATTAGTAATATTAACATAAAGTTGAGATGTTTTTTCTTTTTGATTATTACCATTAATAAAAAAATTTTGATTTGAATCCGTTTTAATTGAAATAGGTATATTTTCATAGAAATGTTCCGGATGTGTAACAGTACCTATTAGAGATGGACGAAAATTTGTAATATCACTATGTTTTATTGTTAATGAAGATTTTCCATCGATTGGAGCAGAATAAACTTTCGTAGGAAAAAGTTTTGGTATTTCTTTCTCAACAGTTACAGATGTCATTTTTAAAGACGAATCTTCTTCAATAGAATTTGATATTATTTGATTTTTATCGAATATTTTCGAGGATATCGAATTATTTGAATGAGTATGACCATTTTCAGATGGTCTTAATAAACCACGTGGTTTTAATAAATTTGTTTTTGTTCGATATTCATCTTGTGTTGTAGATGAAGAAATTATTCCATTAGATGAACCATTTGTTGAAGAAAAATTCATCAACTTTGGATCTATAAAAAGAATTCAAAATTTATCTTAGTATAATTCTTGTGAGATTAAAATATCAAACACTATTTAAAATCACGGAGTAATTGTTTTATTCTAACTATTTTGACACATATTTCTTCTCCAGACGAGACATTATTGATATATGATGTGTGATCATATATATCAACAATATCTGTAAGAGTTTAAATATAGAAATTAGTGTTTTGTCGAAATGACTTATTTCGTAAGAAAAGATATAGCCCCATGATATTTAATATTACTTCTTTTTCCATTCGATAGTAGCGACTAGAGCCTGTCGAATAGGACTCGGACCCGAGTAGGTCCGAGTCGAATCCAGCTCTGAAGAAAGTTTTGATACATTACAATGCATTGTGAATTTTTTCAAAATTTTGTTCGTTTTATGAAGACAAAAAACGAACAATGAAACACTTTTTGAATATATCTATCAGAACTGATTTATCATCGTGCTTGAATCCAAAAAATTTAAGCGATCAAAAATCTTGGGCACGATTGGCTCTAGTGGTGACTGTGGATAAAATTTTCTATATTGAGAAGTTTTTTAGATAAGAAAAATGAATAAAAACATTCTTAGGAATCGTAAACTTTAAAAGTTCAAATAAGCATTTCTTTATTCTGACAGCAGCCTTACATATCTAGAAGAATGACTTTCAAAATTTCTATTCTTGAAAATAAAATTATAATTTTGGAAGAACATTTCAACCCGAAAATGTCCTGATAATGGCTGAATGTTTAAGTATCAAACTATCGTTGGTATTTGTTTGGTTAAATGAATAATAATTCAAAATAAAAAATAATTTACCTTGTTGATTAGTTTCAATATTATTTGAAGATATATATCTATTAATTGTTTTATTTGAACGTTCCTTTTTTTTTGTATTTGTTATTGAAGTTTTATTTTTATTTGAAAATTCTTGTTGTTGATGATTCATTAAACCAAAATCAGTTTGTGTTTCAGCATCAATATCTGAATGTAATCGTAATTTAACAAATGATGGTGATGAATTTAAACTTTCTTTTATACCATCAAAAATAAATGGTGGACTAGCCATTGTTGTATGTACTGGTGTATATCTTGCTTCGAATTTTAATTCAGCTATTTCAGTTCGTAATTCTTTTAATTCACGTATTAATACAGCAACTAAATCACCTGAAATATTATTATTATTATTAATATTATTATTTGATGGTGATAATATATTATTGTCATTGATATGATTATAATTATTATCAAATTTCATTAAATTTGCTATTTGTGCATCATTTAACATTGGTGTTTCATTAAATGTTCGATGATTATATAGATTTAAACTTGAATCTGTTGTTTTTAATTTTTCAGGTTCAAATTCTGTTCTTGAAGTTGCACGAACAGGACTTGTTTGTAATGAACGAGTTAATTCAATATCTGGTTCTTTTCTTGTTATTGAATGATGTTTAGTTCTATCTTTACGTTTTATTTTACCATTATCAGTTATCCAATTATCTACAGAAATTCCTTGTGTAGGTAATATTTTTGAACTACTTTTTGACATAGGAAATGCTGATAAATGAGCAAAAAATTCTTGTGCTCGTTGAATAAATAATTGAACTGATTCATTTCCACGTAAACGAAATATTGATGCTGAATAAAGTCCAGTTGCATGATAAGATGAACGATTATTTGTTATGATAACAACTATATTTAAATAATGTGAATCATACCAAAAATATAATAATTCAGATCTTTTATACATCCATGATTGATTTGGATCAGGTATATTATCAATAATTAAACCATCATCTGGCAAAGATAATTTTACTTTCAATCCTATGATAAATATACAATTTATTTATTTTTTGTTTTGAATTGTTGTTATGAAGACAATAAACAAAAAAATATTTGTCGCTTATTGTTTTTTTTTGTTTTTTACTAACCTTTTGATTTTGGTCCTGATACAATTCTATCAACTGTTTGTCTTAATGTATTTACCGTATAATTATCTAAGTCAAGTCGATGAATAAAATAAGCGGAGCATTGAATCATTGGTGATAATGGTAATGGTATTGGAGTTGGAATAGTTGTTTGATGATAACCATTATGATATAAATATTGATCAGTATTATCACCATTGATCGGTATAGGCGATGATCGTTTTGATCGATGATGATGACGATGACGATGATGATGATGATGTTGATAATCATTATGATGTTTAGAATGTTTTGATTGTTGCATCGAACCGTGTTGTATTTTGTTGAACATATTCTACAAAAGTGATAAGAAAAAAAAAGTCTATTACATTTATCAAACAGATAAGCAAATTTGATTTGAATTTCGTTCATTTCATTTCTTGTATGTGTCTCATCATGATATGATTCGTTCTAATTGAGTTTCACACTCATTGCATTCTCACACTATCTTACTAAGATCATATCCTAATTTGACCTGAATTACTACGAAAGAGAAATATGAGAAACGATAAATATTTATAATAAATAACATTATTTAACGTTTTTCATTTTCATATAATATTATAAAATCTAAATGAATATTTTTAATACGAAGAACTTAGGTTTATGAATTTACATACTCTTCAACATCGATATACAATGAATTTCAATGCTTATTTCGATTAAAGCATCTATATATCCAAGTCATTGAACATCGATGTCAAGAACATATTTATCATTAACAAAAGTTCGAAGAAAGACAAGTTCAAGTACAAAAAAAACGAAACAAAAGCGCATAAAAAAAATGTATACTATAGTATAATCTGATTTTTTTCATAAAAATTATCAAATGTTAAATTGACTATCAAATGTGTGATCGTATAGTGTAGTATAGAAGAAGTATCATTAAAAATTAAACACAATTTTTTTAAAAATGTTCACTTAACTTTCTTATCCTGTGTTCATCATTAAACAAATTACATGTTAGAAAATAAACTGTTCGATTTTTTTTTTCGTTATTCTCCTTCTTCTCTCTCTCTCTCTCTTTCTCTTTCTCTTATTGTAAGGAATAAATTAAAACTGAATGATCTAGGGACAAAAATGGGATGAAATATGGTTATTGAGTATATTTTATTGTATTATGAAGACAATGGGAATAATCAAACGAATGTGAGAAAAAAAAACGCTTATCATTCTTTTAAGGATTAAGATTGTCATCCATCACTGTTTAATGTTACATGAAAACAAAAGAAAAGTCCAGACGAATTAAAAAAAAAGCAGTTAGACATGCGAAGAAGGATACACAGACATTGTCTTATCTGTCGTATGACATTCATTTTTTCGTTATTCATTTTATTTCATTGCTCGTATGTAGATACGCTTCAATGGACACTATCGACTATCCTTCAATATAAAATTTATCGTATACAATTGAACTTAACTGAACTGACCAGGTTATATTCATCATTTACTTTAGACGTATTTTAATATATCAATTAAAATTTATTGAAAAAACCAATAAATCATAGCTATTGAAGTTGATAAGAGCATTTTGAATGTGTTTTTTTTTTTATCGTAACCTTCAAATTTGAATAAATAACCATAATTAATAATTGTCATATTCACTAATATCATATTTTTTTTTCGTACATGTCGATATTTATTTCGTTGTTGACAGTTCGAATACGATAAGTAGCAAGTTATTTCATGCATAAAGTATTTATTCTAGCATAAAGAAATGTATTTCATCCATATAGGTTAGATAAGTCAAGAGAAAATATATCCAGTACATTTTTCTTCATTATATCTCTGTCATTTTCTTTTTAGCAAATACTGATGACCATAAAAAACAAGTATGTATATAACTATATATATATATATATAGTTTTTTCTAGGTGTATCAATCAGTACAATCAATCATTGAGTGATGGTAATTATAAAATGAAAAAAAATCAAGCACAACAAAAAATAAAGTATAGTTGATAATACATAAAATATATCGAAGAAAAAAAAAATCATCGGTAAAAAGGTTTTTAATAAGAGTATATATTTTTTTTTTATAAATGAAACTTACGTGTGAAAAAGTCAAATACGATATTAAGATTCAATATAGTTTTTTTTTTGTTTTTTATTAAAAATACTTTACAGTTGACAGTAGTAATACGAATGCATATTTATCAAGTTGTCAAATGAAATACAAAAAAAAAAAGATTAAGTACGATGAACGTTAACGTAAATATAGCATGAGAAAAGATCAAATTCGTGATATAAAATTATCGATAATAATATAAGCCGTTTATAATTGTTCGTTTTCTCCTAATTAAATATATATTAAATCTCTAATACTTTTATTAATTTCATTAATAAATTAATAGGATAATAAAATAAACCAATGCAATGACTCGAAACAAAAAAAAGAAAATAGAATAAAGTTTTATATCAATTCACAAAGTTTAGATCTCTATCGAAAATTATTCATAACCCTTCTTATTTGAATTGAAATTCCATCTGTATAATTTCGTTGCTTTTTTTTGTTTTTATTATATCAAATTTATCGTGACAAACCCTTCCTCTTTGTTTTACTGTGGCCTTCGTTATCAACCAAAAAAAAAAGGTAAAAAAAACGAGAGTATCATCAGGTCCTTTTTCGCTGGTAATCATCATATATTTATCTTCGAGCAGAAAAATTACACAAAAAAAAAAAACGAGAAAACGAAAAAAATAAAGAATATCATCTACATGATTGAATATAAACCAAGCGAGTCTATAGAGAATTTATAGTTAGTGTAATAGCATTTTGCTCAGTCGTTACACTACGATAATAATATACAAAAATAGATCGATCAATATAAAGTCAAGAAGAAAACAATAACACAAAATTATAAAAAAAAATAAATGAAACTGGAAGACAAAAAAAAACAAAACAAAAACGAATGCTGCTCAATTCTAAATATACGTATGATAAAACATGACACATAAATTTTTTTGTTTTTTGTCGAAAAGATGATAAACACCTTTTCAATTTTCTATTGATATAACCATTAGTAAATATTTACATATTTTAAAAATAAAAATGAAAAGAAAAATTGCATTGTTTTTTTTTTGTCAGCTATTTATTTGCTGATGTTGATTGTTCTTGAGATAAAGACACATTAGAAAAGTAGAGTATATTTAATTAATTAACAATAATAGCAGAATCGGTACATGTTTTTGTATCTGTTTTATTTTTTGAAGATGAACCACAATATGCATTTGATGTTGACCTTGTGCTATTACTGTTATTTATCCCTGAATTATCATCATTCATGTCTGTTGATGTTGATGGTGTTGTTGTTATGGTTGTCATAATATATTTTTCCCATTCTCTTAATTGAATAATAAAACTTACATTTGGATCAACTATTTGACGTAATTTACGCATTTTATCAAATGCTTCATCTAATGTCCAACGATTTTTTTTCATCATATAAGCAAGTACTAATGTTGGACTACGACTGATACCAGCCGAACAATGAACAAGAACATTATTTGTTTTTATACGTAAAGCATTATCTAAATTTCGATATAATGAAAGACAAAAAATAAAAATAAAACTTACCGATAAATGATATAAAATCTTCGAAATGTTTACGAATATTTTGTGATGGTGAATCGAGTATATCTACTCGCATATATTCATATTTCTTTTCCCAATAAAAAGGTAAATCAGGTGTACAATTAACAATATGTGTAATACCATTCTGAATTAAACGATCACAAGTTTGTGCATCGAGAATATTACCTAAAAAAAAAATATATTTATATCATATATCTTTTATTTTTATTAATTAAAATATTATTTTGCTTTTGGCTTTCATATCATATAACATTGGACTTCAATAAAAAACCTTTTTTCTTTATCTTATCCTTCAACCTTCAATTACTCAATGTTTTCATAGTGAGTCAGTTAATAATGCGCACTTCAACCAATGGATTCTTTTTTTCTTTATGTCTTCTGTTTTTTTACGTCGTTTCATATTCTTTTGGCTTTAATTAATTTTCATGAAAATTCTGTTTCTTTTCTTTTTCTAAATTTAATCATATAATTATGCAAAAAAATTTTTTCTTTTTTCTTATAATTCATACATACCAACAAATATATGTGGTAAAATTTCTGTCATAACAACATTTTCTTTATCAATTGCATCGGGACTTGGTGGTGGGGGAGTAAGATCTTGTTCATCTTTGAATGTTCCCGTTGGACATTCAATAAAATCTGGATATTCTGTTTTAACAGCATCTAAACCTCCTATAAAAAATTTTTTTTTTACTAAACATAAATTTCATGTTTTTTTTTTTTTGTTCTACCTTGAATAATTTGAACCTTTTTATTTGATTTTTGTGCTGCTTGTACAACAAGATTAATCGGAAGAGAATTCATTTTTTCTTCTGCTCGTAAATCAGTTGATTGATCATATAGAATAACTGTATCAGAATTACTTAATGATGATGATAAATTTGGTTCAATATCTTCTAAACGTTTTGAAGTTAATTTTCTTGCCATAATTTTCGTTCGACAATTTATATTATGTGATGAACGTATACGTTCACAACCGAAATCCATTTGTGAACGACAATCAAGTATAGGCATTTTTTGTGCATTAGAATTATGAACTAATTCAACAAATTGTGTCGGTGTTATAAATGCACAATGATCAGTTGAATTTGATGGTAATGCATCAGAACAACTGTATGCTTTTGTTAATGGTGCTCTTTTAGTTGTTGTAGTCTTTGTAGATTTATCAATGTTTGTAAATGTATTCATTGTTTTTTCTGCCAAAACATAATCATTATAAATACGACTCATACCTTGCATGAAAAAAAACAAAATGAAGTATTAAAAAATATAAACTTAGAAATTTTTCTTTTTTTTTTTTTTTATTTCATTTATTACTCACATTGGAATTGTTATTATTATTATAAAAATGGATTTTTTTTTTTCTTTCTGTAGCTTATCAAGTTTCGCTCTTTTTTTCTTCTTTTTTTGACATGTTTATTTGTTTACTACAAAGCTGACACAATATATATAGGTATCAAGGGCAAAGAAGAAAGAGAAAATAAATAAAACTAATAAGTATTTTTTTTTTCCTATTTTTATACAATTATTAATCATATAAAACTATTTTTAATTTACAAACGTAAAAAAGATTTGTTTCTATCTTTAATTATCTCAATATTAAAAATTAATTTATAATAGATGTCGTTAGATACACATTGTATTTTAGACTTTAAAAGAAAAAGAAAGAA